CCTATGACTCTGCACAAGAATTATACACCCTTTGACACCACTTTGCTCATAACTATTACCCACATATCTCATAACCAGTAACACGTATAGCATAACCAAATACCCTTTGACACCACTTTGCTCATAACCATTAGCCACATATCTCATAACCCCTAACACATATAGCATAACCAAACACCATTTGACACCACTTTGCTCATAACCATTACCCACATATCTCATAACCACTAACATATATAGCATAACCAAACACCCTTTGACACCACTTTACTCATAACCATTACCCACATATCTCATAACCAACATCACATATATCATAACTACTAATCACATATCTCATAACCAAACACCTTTTGACTTATAACTATACCACTCTGCTCATAACCAAAATCACATATCTCGTAATCACTAATCATATATCTCATTACCTTTACCCACATATATTATAACCACATCTCATAACTAGCATCTTTTGTTTCATAATCAGTATCACATATATCATAACTACTAATCATATATCTCAGAACCACTACTCACATATAGGGGTATAAATTTAGCCCATGAGCTCGCGGCATACCCCAAGTCCGCTCGTGCCGTGGGTAGGCCAAACTAGGCTTGAGTCTAAACCCAACCTAAGACCCTGAGCTATGTGTTCTAGAGCCTGACCCGACCCTGATGTGTTATGGAGTGTGACCCATCCCGTGAGATCGCCCCGAAATTTTCTTTCCCATCTAGCTCGACCTGACCCCAATGGCTCCTTGCCCCCATTGTCAGTGCAATGGTCAAAAATTTAAATCAAAACAATTTGAAAGAGTCATATAACCGTTAATTCCACTAACAATCAATTTTATTTATTTTTTTATTTTTATATATATAAATTAACTCCTCCCTCCCAAGTCCTATAAATACCACCCCTCTCACATTTTATTTCTCACAACAAATTTGTCTCTCAAACTCTCATTCTCTCTAAACTTTCATACATATACAAATCTTTGGCCGTAGTTATGATTTTATCAATTTGTACATATCTTATAGAACTGTTGAAAATGAATATTACGATTTTGTTGTACTGTTTTGCTATCTCAGCTCTCTTCATCTATCAAACATCTCTCTCATTCCTTACTGTCACTGTAGATATCTCCGATGTTCCTTATCGGAAACAACACCATCTTTGACATTATTTTCACAGACGAATTAGGGATTTTTGGGTTTGAGATTGGGGATTTTTGGGGGGGGGGGGGTATTTTTTTTTTTAGTCACAAATAAAATTTAAATAATAAAATAATATCGTTTATTTTATTTTTATTTTTTTTTTGCTGCGGGGGTTGACATCGTCAAAAAATTTTATTTCTTGTTAAAATATATATTTTTTTGTAGTTAATAAATTTTGTTAAAAAAATTCCTCTTTTTTTTTTAGTTACTAAGATTGCAAATTTATTTGTTTCATTTTTATTTTAATGAAAAAAAATATTATTATTTTTTATTTGGTAGAAGTAGGGGTAATATTTTAATGAAAAATATTTTTCACTAAAATAAAAGTTAATTTTCTGTAGCCAATGAAAAATATTTTTCTGCGGCCTATTTTTTTTTGTTACTAAAAATCATGAACTAATTTTTTGTTGTAGAGGAAAGGGAGCGGCAATAGTGGTGAAGATGGTGGATAAAAGATGATGGTGATGGTCATGGTCATGGTCATGGTGAAAGAGATTAGTAGTGAAGTTGTGATAGTGGTAGTGTAAATGGAGTGACAGGGGTGAAGGAGAGGTAATGGTAGTAGTAGTGGTAGTGGTGGTAATGAAGTGATGGCGATGGCAGTAGTAATGGTAGTCGTAGAGGTGAAGTGGCGACAGTAGAAGTAGTGGTGGTGGTGGAATAACGTTTGTAGTAGTGGTGAAGATGGTAGAGGAGATGGGTGGTGAGAGAGATAAATGAGTGAGAGATAGATAGAGGAGAGAGAGGAGAGAGAGAGACAGAGTGATGAGCGAGAGAGAGAGAGAGAAAGAACGCAAACACAGTAGGAGAGAGAGAAAGAGAACAACGCAAACAGAGAAAACGGGAGTGAGAGAGTGAACAACGCAAACACAGTGGGAGAGAGAGAGAGAGAGAGAGAGAGAGAAAGAAAAAGAGAATATAAAGAGAAGAGTGATGAGCGAGAGAGACATAAAGACAAGAGAGATGAACGAGAGAGACAGAGAGAAAGATAGCGAGAAGAAAGATGAGCGAGAGAGATAGAGAAAGATGAGAAAGATAGAGAGAAGAGAGATGAGCGAGAGAGATAAAGAGAAGAGAGATGAGCGAAAGAGACAGAGAGAGAAAAGAGATGAGAAAAGAGATGAGAGAAGAGATAGATGAGTGAGAGACACAGAGAGAGATAGATAGACAGACAGAGAAGAGTGATGAGTGAGAGAGACAAAGAGAAGAGAGAAATGAATGAAGATAAAAAAATGGATGAAAATATATAGACAAAGAGAGAGAGAGAGAGCGAAAAGAGATAAACGAAAGAGAGAGAGAGACAAAGAGAGATGAGCGAGAGAGTGAGAAAGATAAAGAGAAGAGAGACAAAGAGAGAAGAGAGATGAGAGAGATAAAGAGAAGAAAGATGGACGAGAGACACAGAGAGAAAGAGAGACAGACAGACAGAGAAGAGTGATGAATAATGAGTGAGAGAGAGAAAGAGAAGAGAGACAGAGACATAGAGAGAAAGAAAGAGACAGACAAACAAATAAGAGTGATGAGTGAGAGAAAGAGAGATAAGAGAGACAGAGACACATAGAGAAAGAGAGAGACAGATAGACAGACAGACAGACAGACAGAGAAGAGTTATGAGTGAGAGAGAGAAAGAGAAAAGAGACAGAGATAGAGAGATAGAAAGATGAAAAAATGGGTGAAAGGAGAAATGTTCAAAAGAGTAAGACGACGTCGTTTTTATTTTTTTTTTTATTTTTTTTTGTAACAGAAAAATACCGTTGCATTTATTTAATCCATTTTATGACTATATATATATGAAGCCGTCTCAAAGCCACAATATATATATATATATATATATATTTCTTAAACTTTTTTTTTTTGCAACGGTACGTTTTACGATCGCACAAAACTTTTTCTTTTTTTTTTCGACTGCAGCTGGTACCGTCGCAAATACTCTTTTTTTTTTTGCGATAGCAATTTGTATCATCGCAAATACTCTATTTTTTTGCGATGCCAAGTTATGTCGTCTCAAAAAGTCACATTTTTTGGCAACAGCACGTTGTGCCGTCTCAAAAAGTCACATTTTTTTGAGACGGTAAGTTCTAACGTCTCCAAAAGTCACATTTTTTGGGACGACAAGTTGTGCCGTCTCAAAAAGTCACATTTTTTAGCGACGGCAAGTTGTGCCGTCTCAAAAAGTCACATTTTTTGAGATGGCAAGTTGT